CAGCAGCAGTAGCAGAAGCCGTAGCAGTAGCGGTAGCAGTAGCTAAGAGACTTGGACTGATACTACTTCAGCAGGTCGCCCGAACCAACTGCTGTGACGCTTTAGCGGTCAAGTGCAAGGTATTTAGCACACACCACCGCAAAGCTTTAGCACTTGATAGAATGTGGTGAGATGCGGTGAGCCCATGGCTTACCTTACATCGGCACTAACTCTCGTGTCTGCCAACAACACTTGTGCAGCCCGAGCTACTGAAAGCAGGAGGCAGCTTGTTCGTAATTCCCCTCGCGGAGAAACAGCTCGCCGGCCCTGTCATGATCATCGATATCCTTAGGGGAGTGTCATGACACTTGCTGCAAGGGCACAAATCACTGCACGCTAAGCAAGCCATGTCCAGACATGATTGGCTGCCACATGCTGCCGGGAACTTTAATTCAGACATTGACGACCAAGCTCAAGCTGCTACCCTACGCTTGCATCCTATACTCCTGCAAAGCGACAGCTCCTCGATGCACGCCAACGCACTCTCAGTGGTCACTCTCGCAGTTGAAAAGCTCCACCTAAATCTTACCAGTTGCTACCCAACATTTGGTGCGACAAAGTATTCAGGGCGCTTCAGATATGCGAAGTTCCTGAAGTAGTATCATGAATATTATGTTATTATGACACAGCAGAGTTTCGCCTCCCTGCGACCAACTGCGCACCAAATCCCGAACCGAGCCAAGATACCTGCAGGTAGCGGAAGCACTCATCTGCCTCAGTTTCTACAAAAATCTCACGACATGATCTACATCCAGGCACGCAATGCACTTCAAGACCAGCCTTCAGTGCCTGAGCTTCGTGTGCGACCAGCACGACTCTTCCGACATCTTGTTTTTGCTCCTCGGCAGCTTGGACGGCCAAGTGGCCGTAGATGATTAGCGAGTTTGCAATACTCACATGATCCCCTCAAAAAATATTAATCACGATTGAGCAGTAACCTCTTCACAATGGCAGCGGGATGTAGCTATCGCAGGCACCCGTCGCTTGCGTCAGATGGGTTTCCTACAACCATTGCAACCTGCCCGCTGGCTCACAGCTCCGAACATCACGGCCTCCGAGAAGTAAGACTTTCCACTGCATCATGCATCATTGAAAAGTCTTTGCCTATGTAGAAGACGGCATGGTGGAATTGCACGCATTTCATAGTTGCTGGCTGCTTGATTGTCGGCACCGATCGGCCACTTCAGTGGCTGTCAGCTGCATTACGAGACCTGTCCAAGTAAGTCCGTGCGAAAGGAAGAACCTGTGTAAGTACGTAAGAATGCACGTATCTTAGCACGTATGTAAGTATGCAGCATGTAGTCGCACATGAGCAATGGCTGTGGGACAGCAACCCTTCGACCATTCCCGGCAACATGCCACATCCCCCTGCACTATAATCCCTCTTCCTGCGAAGCTGAGGCTCCGCAAGGAGGTAGGTCCGAATGCACTCATCGAAGTGGCCCTCTTCCTCATAGAGCCGAGCCGCACGGGCCTCACTCTCCGTCTCCCTCTCTGTCTCTCTCTCTCTTTCTCTTTCTCCTCGTATCTTCCTTTTTCCACGGATGCTGAAGACTGTGACAGTCGCGGCCGGGGCACGTGGTCTCCATATTCGGCCCAGGCTTTTGCAGCTTCGATCTGCCAGGTGGCCGAGGCCGGCAGAAATGAAGCAGCTCAGATACGGAATCTTTCGAAGGTTGCAACTTGTCAAGCACGGCGACGAGCGATGACGAGCGAAAGTTTAGCCGATTGGCCGGCAGCCTCGCTAGGCAGGTGCGCCACCCATGCAAAGCCCATGCACCTTGAGATCAGGCTGCTCTTGGCCAAGATCCTCGAAGATTTTCGCAGCCTGCTGGAAGCAAAGGTGGGGTTAGGAATGACGGTGCCCTGCGCAAACAGCAGACTCTCATTTTCCTGATATGCCATATGCCAGCTTTCTCAGCATTTGGCGGGCGAGCCTTCTGTAAGTACCCGCCGCAGCGCCAGCACTCCGCCTCACAGTCGGACTCGCTGTGCTTCTGTGTTTTGTTTGGTGGTACCGTGTTCATCCGACAAGAATATCTGACAAAGTCTTGTCTGCATGCCGAATGCCTTAATGATTTATTTGTTTCTTCTGTGGCTGCCTAGCTCTTGGTGAGGACACCTGTCTCTGTCCGCAATGTGAGAGTTAGTTCTTGACCCGGGAACTGTGCCTCCTCTCGACGAGCATTGCTGGCATGGAACAGCTTGGCAGCTTCGCGGAAGAGTTGAACACCTCTGCCCGGCGAGACTAAGTTGAAACGAGTGAAAGAAATCGCCGCTTATCGAATTGCTTCCTCTCACAACCTCGCACAGAAGCACCTAGGATGTGCCCTGTCGGGAACTATTTCGAAGCTCACACTCGCCAAGGCAGGCAAGGCTCCGCATAATCGGGAACTATTTGAATTCCGCAGCCCAGAAAAACGATTCATCTTGCTGCAGATACTCCGAAAAAATGTTGCAGTGCATGCGTGCACGCAAAAGGAGAAATTCCTTTGTGTGGTGTGATTCGGCCCTCCGTGGAGAAGGCATACAAAGAGGCGAGATGCCCTGCGCTTCCGATTCTTCCATTGCCGTCCTGGACAAGATAACCCGACACACCGGATGCGTCATGCTCCTGCATCCGAACAGTTTAGTCGCGGTAGAGACAGTATATGCATGTCTTCCCAGAGCAGCTCAGCTGCAGACCGAAACCCACGTTTGCCCTGGATGATTTGCAATCGGGGCCTGAATTCCTAATTGCACTGCTGCCAGGCCAGGTTTGTATGCATGCTTCGTGCCCTACGAACAGAAAGAGGGTGAGGGAGGGAGCGAGAGGGAAAGAGAGAGAGAGAGAGAGCGAGAGCGAGAGCGAGAGCGAGAGCGAGAGCGCCCCAGCTCAGAATGTCATGGGATCGTGCACCGGATGACCCTTGGAACACAAGCCCTGCACCAGAATCCTGTCCTCGCGGCTTCTTGGGCCTTCAGGTACGCTTCGCAGATATTGGCCTCAACGGATTCACCCAGGTAGCCAGCAGTTGCTGTTGAACTTGCAATAAAACTCTGCAAAAGCCAAGCAGGCATGTGCTGGTAGAAACGAAAGGCAGCGCCGAAGCACCGAAACAAACAAGGTCAAGCCGGGAAGCCAAAAACCAAACCGGTCTTTAGGCCTTTAATCCAGAACGGCCCCGTCCACGGCCACGTCCTTGCACGAACGCTCGACACCCACGCCCGTTTCCTCCCGCGAACGGTCCGTCCACGGCCGCGTCCTCCGCTTCCTCCCGCAAACGCTCGGCCCCACCCGTCCCCGTCCACGTCCTCCCACAAACACTCGACACCCACAGCCCCCCATGCACGAACGCTCGGCACCCAGAGCTTCCCACCAAGAGATCCCCATCCGCCCCCGCCCACGTCCTCCCGCGAACGCTCAACACAACACCCAGAGCTCCCACCCGTCCCCATCCACGGCCACATCCTCCCGCGGCTCCCAACATCTCCCAACGCTCAACACCCAGAGCTCCCCCCACCCGTCCCCATGCGTCCACGGCCACGTCCCCCCGCGAACCCACCCGTCCCCGTCCACGGCCACGTGCTCCTCCAGAGTTCACCAGCCCGTCGAAACGATGCGGTAGACGCGTCCTCTTCGCTAAAAGGCTTTTCCGGTCCACGGCAACGTCGTTTTGTTGAACGCTCCTCCGCGGGAAGGAAATACGAAACAAGAACCCAACCCCCAGGGGTTTTTGGGAAAATACAAAACAACACTGCATCACCAAATGTGCTTCTCTCAGGCGAAAGCCATCTTCTGGTCCTCCGCACGAACGAAGGCACTTCGTGCTTGGTCGTAGAGCTGCCTTGGTCATGACATGAAGGCTACCAGTTGGAGCAGCCAGCAGCGAAATCATCACGACGCGCCGACCGTCGCGACTCCTCTTCCTCCTGCTGCCCTTCATCGTTACTTCCTGTTCGAGTCGCGAAGAGGCAGACGCCGCAACACCAACAACACAAGCAGTGAAAACGGCAGTGACGAAAGAAGAATCCCAATGGCACTCTTCAGCATAGTTGTTCTCTGAAGCTCGCACCGAATGCTGCCCTCTTCTGTTTTCAGATTTCCGAAAGACGGTCCAGCACAAACCTTTAATGATTCAAGACTCGTGAATCCCCGATTCCCGACACACAAATTCAATACCGGGCGCCGATTGAGGAGGTTGTGTCCCATGTGGATCCAGGATTCCTGCAGCGACTCCACTGGTCCACAAGCAGTATCGCAAGTGGCGCGAGAACTGCAAGCTAGTGTTCGTGGCTTTGAAATGACATTTACATGCAAATTGCGAGAGCTTGTCCAGCTCTTGGAACTTTACGCCTGTCTCTCCTCGCTCCCCTTGCGTTGAATGTCGAAGTGGTGTCTTTCGCTCGCTCCAACAATAAAATTCCGAGATCGATCGGGGCCATCGAATCAGCCGAAGTTAAAGGACTTCGACAACATCGAATCCGAATGGGGGGTCATGCGTGGTGTGAGGGTCCAGTGTCTGCACGAGCTGCTGTGATCTCGGCGTCTTGAACCAATTTCGTCCAGACGTGATTACCCAAAACAACCTTCTCACCGGTATGTCCTTGCCACGGTTCTCACCGGCATGCTGGTGAATCTGCGCCCTCGCCTCAGGAAGAGGATGCAGAGCCACGGAAAAACAAACATGAGCAGGAGATGCAAGCTGTGCTTTGGGCTAGATGTCGGGTGACGAAACCCCTACCACTCCAGACTGTTCGTCGTGTCATGCAGGTTCATGTAAGGGACAGCAGGCATTCTATCTTTAGCTGCTCCGCCTGAACAAGCGATTGCAGCTGACACACTAAGTAACAGTGCCACACAACAATCTGGCAAGGCTGGCAAGCAGAAGGACACGCATGTCTGCAGTGATCAACTGGGGTTGCGTCTGTGCCCTGGCCTAGGCAAAGATCCCTGTCAACTCGGCACATGACAATGCCGTCCAATCTTATCACCGGGAGTCTGAAAAGTCCCATGTTCATTGGAGCGGAGACGACCGTGGGCCAGACGTCATGATCTTTCATTGCTAGACGCTTCGCGGCTCGTCGTGGTGCTTAGGGGCCTTGGACCATTTGCCCGGGCCCCGCGCCTTTTCGTTCGCCTCGTCCATGAGGCCCGAAGAGCTGACCAGGCCCAGGTCTTCCCACATCTTGAAGACGTGTGACGCCTTGGCGCTGTCCTCCTCGAAGAACAGGAGCCTAAGCGCGTCTGTGGCTTCATCTTCGAAGATTGGAAAAACCAGCCAAATACGCAGTATCTGCCCTGAATTCTGACTCTGCGCAATGAAACCGATTACAAGTAGCCGTTTTGTCGGTCGATGAAGTTGTGTCTAGAAGCGTTGTTTCTGCCTGTGCACTGATAGCCACGTGCCAAACAAGTCAGGGAAGGCCTTGCGAATTTGGGGTAATTGCACCACCGTGGCCCAGATCATAGCCATAAAATCCTAAAACACTTTACCATATAGAAAACAAGGTGCAATTATCCAAAATGGACAAGGTAATGGGGTCGCCCAGTTTGGGGTATTACATCACCGTGGCCATATAATCACAACTAGTAGCTCATTATCCTTAAAATACT